AAAAATTGGTTCACTCGCCCTGCCCTTGATCCGACCTTGACCCGACTCATAAATATCCATATTTTTTGAACTGGTTTAAATACTGACCCACTTTTATTTGGGTCAATTTTAGACCTGACTCGTTTTAATATTGACCAACTGACCCAAAACTTGACTCATACTCATTATGTGAAAAAAAAAATCACAATTACATTAAAAGAAAAGTTTTAACGTAAAACAATTATGTCAAAATTTTTTATGGAAAATATTTTCATAAAAATTTTCGCAAAATTTTTTGACGAAAACTATTTTCATCAATATTTGTGACTAAAAACATATCGGAAAAAAAATTTGACGGAATATTTTTTTTGTCAAATTTTTTTACGGAATCTAAATTTCGTCAAAATATTTCACAAAAAATATATTCATAAAAAATTTCGATGAAACACATTTTCATCGAAATTCTTTTATGGAAAAAAATTTCATCAAGATTCTTTACAGATTTCAAATTTCGGCGAAAGTTTTCGACGGAAACATTTTCGTTAAACATTTTGAGAAAAAAAAATTTCGTCGAAATTTTTAGCGAAACACATTTCTATAAAAAAATTTCGACTAAATATTTTCGTCAAGTTTTTTGATAAAGAATATATCCATCAAAGTTTTCAACGGAACACATTTCTGTAAAAAAAATTCGTAAAATTTTTTGACAAAAATATTTCGATAAGAAATTTTGACAAAAAAAATATTTTGTCTAAATTCTTTAGAGAATCTAAATTTCGTCAAAAGTTTCAAATGAAACATTTTCCTCCAAACAATTTCCAAGAAAATTTCGACGAAACACATTTCCATCAAAAAATTTCGACGGCAAAAAATTTCATTAAAATTCTTTACAGATTTCAAATTTCGGCGAAAGTTTTCGACGGAAATATTTTCGTTATCAAAAAATTTTGACGGCAAAAAATTTCATCAAAATTCTTTACACATTTCAAATTTTGGCGAAAGTTTTCGACGGAAACATTTTCGTCCTCAAAAAATTTTGACGGCAAAAAATATCGACGGCAAAAAATTTCATCAAAATTCTTTATAGATTACAAATTTCGGCGAAAGTTTTCGACGGAAATATTTTCGTCATCAAAAAATTTTGACGGCAAAAAATTTCATCAAAATTCTTTACAGATTTCAAATTTTTGCGAAAGTTTTCGACGGAAACATTTTTCGTCATCAAAAAAGTTTGACGGCTAAAAATTTCGACGGCAAAAAAATTCATCAAAATTTTTTACAGATTTCAAATATCGGCGAAAATTTTCGACGAAAAAATTTTCGTTAAATTTTTTGACAAAAAATAATTTTCGTCAAAACTTTTAGCGAAACTTATTTCCATCGAAAATTTTCAACTAAATATTTTCGTCAAGTTTTTTGATAAAAAATTTCCATTCAACGAAACACATTTTATAAAAAAAATTCTGTAAATTTTTTTGACAAAAAAAAACATTTTACGAAAAAAATATTCTGTCAAAATTCTTTAGAGAATTTAAATTTCGTCGAAAGTTTCAAATGAAACATTTCCCTCGAAATAATTTCCGTCAAAATTTTTGTCAGAACACATTCCCATCGAAATTTTGAACGAAAAACATTCCGTCAAATTATTTGACAAAATTCTTTTTTCGTTTAAAACATTTGATGGAAGAAATCATTTTCGTCAAAACTGTTGACAGAAACTAAATTTCAATAGAAAATTTTTTTTTGTAAAAATTTCGACGAAAAAAATAATTTTATGACGAAATTTTCGTCTTTTGCAACGTAAAAATTTCGACAAAATTTACTGAGAAAACCAAGTCAAAAACGGGTCAAGTCAGATTTGACCCAGTTCAGAAACCAAGTCAGACCCACTTCAGAAACTAAGTCAGGTCATATCCAAACTGGTTCTGAACTAGTTCAACAAAATCCAATCCAAGTTGGGTCGAGTCGGACAAAAACCTGACCCGACCTGACCCATGCACAGCCCTAGCTGCATCACGTGATTTATAAAGTATCCGCTCAACAATCATCCATAAGGGGGAAAAGAAAAGAACTATAAAAGCATGTACATTTAATGCTTGATGGTTTAACTTTGCTTTTCAATATTTTCCCTCTCCTTAGAAAAATTATTAGGTTGATTTTTAAGAAGATTTAACATTTCTCTTTGTTTTTACTATAGACGAATACAATTTATGAATGTTATAGAAACATTTTACCGAAATAATTATTTGATGTTACATATCTCATGCAACAGAAACAAAGTAGTGGGGTCCACATTATTATTATTATTATTATTATTATTATTATTTTTTGTTTACAAATGGTGGACTCCACTATCTTGTCTCTGTTGCATGAGATTAATAGATCCCAACATTTTATTCCTTTCACCGTTAGAATATTATAATATAAAGATTGTATATTCTAAAAACTATACTTGTTATTCGAAATTTATACAGGTGTTTAAATACTTATTTATAAGTTGGTTACCTCTAATTTGTATTACAGGACACCGCACTATATTTCTATAGTTTCCTCCAGCTGATTCGATTATGCATTGGGCTAAAAAATACGGTAGGGAACAGATAATGGGTTGGGGTCCATTTATTCTCTTTGCTGAAGACCCAATTACACCGGAGGCCGAACAACACAGCACTCCAACGTCAGTGACAATCCAAGAACTAGAATAAAATGTGTCAGTGACATCCGGACAAACCCTCCCCAGAAAAATACAAATAAATAGACTGTCCGCGACTTCATAGATTCACAGTTGGAGATATACTAACATTTTCGAATTATAATTTGTAAACCAAGCTTCACTTTCACTGATATCATGGTTTAAGATCCAAAATTACGTCCAAACGCAACCCCAAATGATTTTACCAAATATGTTATTCATGAATTAAACTCAATTTGCATGCACTTCATTAATGTCTGGGTGTGCAAATTCTAGTTCCAATACCCCTATTGCAGGAAGCAACCAGGACTACAAAAACTAAAACATCGTTCTTCAAAGACAAATGATTAGACATGCTTTTATAATTCGAAAATTATAAAAGCTGGGTAAGAATTATGAGAAATACTCTTATCAACCACAAATAGATAGCTTTTGTTTGATTAGGTATAGAGAACTAGAAATTGAAGCGCACTAAAAGAATAACTCATTGTGATTAGAACAACAAATCACCCCATTGGTAGAATCTTGCTTCAATATTAATAAAGAGAGATTTAAAATATAAAAAAAAAAGGAAAAAACAAAACAAAAAGTATACCCATTGAAATAGAACAAACATTAGTGGGCGTTTGTGAGATGATTAAAGAATGAGAAGGGAGAAAATATCAACCATAAATCCAAATTAAAACTGATGGATAGAAGAAAAAGAAAAATCAAGATATCCTACTATCGGGACCCCCTATCCTTTTTGGTCATTACTTATCCTTCTTGTATGATGTAGGTTTCTCATTCAAATACATACCTATTTTTATATAATAGGTTACCACAAGGTCTAAAAAGTCTTCAAGTAATATACAATGAATAGTATCAAACCCCTTGATAAACAAAGAATTAGTCTGACTCTGAGTATATCTTAAGCACCATACATATCACATTTGTGAGATTTGGAATGATTAGAGGAAAATCATTACCCGCTCCTAAACCATCCCAAGCTGGCACCATTACAATATTATCACCAACATACTACTCATTGTCTCTTCACAGAATGGACAATATCATCACTAACCTACTACTCATTCTCTATTCACAAAAACGGAAACACATTAATGGGTAGTCACAAGTCACTCGTGTCTCTTGGCACTGAGATAAAATTATCAAATTAAAAAAATGCTATCGCCTAACAATTAATCAATTATTCATAAATAACTACTAAGTTCCATTCTGAAATCACAGCAATCAAGATAGAAACAATCTCAGATAAGTTCGAGATGGAAAATGGAAGCAACAAAATGCTGAAATGCTAAGATTTTTCCGACAATTATCAAGAACCAGGGGGAGGAAGCAAACACCCACTGCTCTCATGTGACCTTCTTCTGAAAGCCAGCTAGACAGAACGTATGCATTGGGACAAGATATCAAATTCTTCTCAAACAAAGATCCTAAACTCTAATTTTATAATCGCATAACATGGATAAGGCATATCCTGATGTGAACATTAAATAGGGCGTACTTATTATAGATATGTGTTATACTATAACACTTCTAATAAGATCTTGAAGGAATGATTAAAAAACAATAAATATAAGGCTATAAAGGAACAAATAAGAAAAAGAACATCCACAACATTTATTATGATCAAGGATAAAGAACAGAAATGACAATATATTTTATCCACACACAAAACTAGAGGACTGAATAGACTAAATTTGCTTCGCATATCTTCCAATGGTAGGACCCTTGAGAAAATGCCCCGCAGGTTACCAAAATGGATAAGGTAAACCGTATACGAGATCTTGCCTCACAAGATATACAGAATTAGGAGGAAAAATCAACTCCGTTTCAAACAGCGACTCTAGAATATTCATTAGTAGATATAAAACTTGAAAAAGACGCATCAGTCACGCATATCCAACATCTGACCATTAAAACAGAGTCTCTTTGAAGTTTAAAATACATAGTTAACTCTCATGACATTATTGGAACCTTTTTTTTTATAAAAATAAAATAAAATAAAAGTCCACAATATAATAAGGTTTATAGATAAAGACCACAAACAATATATCCTATCCACATAGGAAACTAGAGAACTGAGAAGCAAGATTTGCATCTCACGTCGCAATGGCGGGAATGCCATGCAAATACAGGTGAGACACACAACCCTGACAGGCTGACACCCGTATACGAAAGATAACAGAAAAAACGATGGGAGAAAATGGATTTTGAAGACAGAGCAGAGAAGCAAATGCAAGATTTTAAACAATTAAATTAATTAATGAATTAATTAATTAATCATTCATTATGCCTTTCAACACGTGGAACAACCATGATCACCTGAAAAGAACCGCATTTAATAAAATAATCAACAATTAGCAAATCCAGCAAAACAAGTTTTGAACCAAACGCCAATAGCTAGAAACCAAAGAAAACAAAAAAAAATTGTTCATGTTCTTGTTCACGTTCTTCTGCGCCTAGCATCGTCCAATCCGCAGAATATATGTACCCAACCCCAACTAACAGTAACAGACTCACAATTCAATATAGTAAATCAGAATCCCCACATTCTTACTCATTTTCCAGCATTCGGACATTCCCTCGCAAAATGCCCTTCCTCACCACAGTTATAACACCCTCCTCCTCGTCCTCCTCCACCGCCGCCACTGCCGCCGCCACGGCCTCTCCGATACCCTCCTTCAAAAGCACCCTGTCCCTGATAACAATCTCTCGCCAAATGACCTATTCTTCCACAATTATAACACTCAGGGCCTCCCCCACCACCACCACCACCACCAAATCTGCCACCTCCACCACCGTAACCTCCTCCTCCTCCTCTCCGCCCGATCCCTCCGCCTCTACCATACCCGTAACCATCACCGTAGCCTTCTCCGCCGCCGTAGCGCCCGGCGTATCCACCTCCTCCTCTAGCCCTCCCACCTCCACCGCGAAAACCACCAAAACGACGAGATCTAACCATGGATGTCACGTCGACGGCCTTGGTTTTCCCTGCGTCGCCGTAATCGACGAGGAACTCCACCGGCTGGCCCTCCGATAGGGTCCTGTAGCCATCGGATCGAATGGAAGTTTGATGCACGAAGAGATCCTCGCCGCCATCGTCGGGAGCTATGAATCCGAAACCCTTCTGGGCGTTGAACCATTTCACTGTGCCAGTAGATCTCCCACTCGCGGCCATGGCTGATTGCTTCCCAAGAAAAAGAAGAAAACAGAAAAAGAAAGGAAGAAGTGGAAGGTTCTGGAAGAACCTAGAAGTTTCTTTTTTTTTGGTTGATGAAAGCTTATGTTGAATTGGAGTGTGGAGCAGAGAGCGGTAATTGTGATTCGTCCATTCTCTTGAAAGAAAGGAATACAGTTGAGCTTGCTGATGTGTATGGGTTTTGTGTCAGTGGTGAGAGAATAAAATATTAAATATTATTATTATTATTGGTGCTATAGGTAGTTCGTTACTTTGTTTTCGTTTGGTGGGACCAACCCTAATCCCTAATCGCTGTGTGGGTTATCTATCCCTTTAGCTTTAGAAACGAGGGTCGCCATCTACTTTCCCCACTTTATCCAAACATATTATTGCCACATCACCAATTAGAGTTATCAAAATGGACTCGAGCTTGCAAGGACTTAATATTTTTTTCTAAATCATTGGGCTCTTTTTTTTTTTTTTTTTTTATAGGGTCTCCGGTCTTTTATATTCATAACCCTCAAAACCCTATCATTTAATGGGTTGGGTTATAGCTTATGTATTGGTTTAATTTTTTTCTTCATAAAAAATGAGATTATTTAATATATATATATATATATATATATATATAGATAGGATCATTTGACACCTTATCTGAGAGTCACTAGATCAAAAAGATCAACGACTCTGATTTGTAAGCATGTGACACCATTGATTTTTTTTGATCTAACGGCTCTCAGATGAGGTGTCAAATTTTAAATTTGACACTGGTGTCAAAGGATCCTACCTCATATATATATATGAATTAACATATTTTAAATATAAAATAAATTATAAACATAATATGATAATAAAAATATACTTTTACATATATAATTTTGTAGAATATATATAATAAATATATTTTGATGAAGTTTGAAGGATGAAGACTTTTAAGTAAGGGAAAAGTGTTTGTCATTTTAAATGACAGAAAGTTATGTCATTTTAAGAGAGATACAGACACAGAAAATTTGAATTTTAAATTAAAAAAATCACCCACTTTCTCTTTCCCATGATTTTCGTTTTTCCGTGTCTATCTCTCTCCTAAAATGACATAACTTATGTCATTTAACACCAAACCCTTTAAGTAAATAGCAAAAAGTTAATTTCTTCCTTATAATTAATTTTAAAGTTAGTATCTAAATTTGCATTGAAACATACTCTATATTATGCACCTCGGTAGTTTTGTTAATAATTATTGGGAAAAATATTTTTCCTGCAATAAGAGATAAAATAAAATTATCTCCGGTAACCCTGAACAACGTCGTTTTGAGGTTTAGAAAAAAGATACAAAGTATTTTAGTAATTTTACTTTTCTTTTAAATCATGTATTTTATTAAAAGGTTCGCTTTTTCTACAGTCAATGTAGATAACTTATCTACATTAAGTCCAAAATGACGCTGTTTTGAGCCGAAAATTAAGGTATTTTTGTAATTATAATTTTTTTCAGAGTTATAAAAGTCTTTTTATTATATTTTTTTATTTTTCAACCTAAAATGACGTCATTTTGAAAACGAATATAGATAACTTATCTACATTCACTGTAGAAACATTAAAGTCTTTATTAAAATACTTTGCAATTTTTTTTCAAATCTCAAAATGATGTTATTTTGAGATTGTATGAGATAATTTTTTCTCTTGTTATACGATAAATGTTAATCTCATAATAATATGTAACGAATCTTATGAACATTCTTTCTAAGCATGCTTTATGATTTTAATAAAAGAAATCTATGACCTAAATGTGAAAATGAAATGAGAGACAAAAGTTAAAGAAAAGTTCGATTGAAATTCAGAATTCAATGCCTAACATTTGAAAAAAAAAATTATACACGAAAGTACTTGTTTTAGAAATGCAAAGACAGAAGCAAACGGTTTTTAAAGTTTTTTATATGGGTTTTATGTTTATCATTTAACATAATATAACTTCATTTTTCTACACACACATTAAAGAGGTGGAGTTCACATATTTTTCTTTCTCTTTCATCATTTCACTTTCTCTCTCCCTTTTGATGTGAGAGTTGGAAACAACACTTACATTATGTTACATAACACTAATAAAGCCCTTTTTATATTCTCCGAGTAAGGTTTTCAGTAAAAGTGTTTGCGGGATTCGAATTAATTAAATTATTTTAGATTGTTTTTAAATATCTATCTTATTTTTTAAATTTAATTCAAATTAACTATCATTAATTCAATTTTCATTTTTTCATTTTTTAACTTATGATATGAAGAACGAAGAAGATTATACATACAACCTATTTTTGCTTACAACTTCTTATAAGCATATCTTAATAGTTAATTTTTGTCAATCAACAGTTATCATTTATTGCGAATTAATAATTAATTAATGATTTTGATTTGAAAAAATAATAATCTTGTCCTGGAGGGTGTCCGCATTCAACCTCCTCCGGTAACCTTGTCCTCGGAGTGCGGCCCAAAGGCTATCCCCTCATTGGAACAACATGTGCATTGAGCTTCGCTACCGGAAGAAGGATGAGACTAATCCCCCTACGAGGAGAGAGGCACGTCTTCTGTCCCTCAAAGATTTTTCAAGAATTTGTTTGAGACAGAGTTTGAACCCCTGACCTAAGCAAATCCTTGGAAGCTAAGTTGTCAACTGAGCTACCCTTGAGAGTTAAGGATGGCCATTTTAATTAATACTATTGTTTTTTATTTGAAATTTAAATTAAGAAAAAAAACCACTTACTTTCTCCCCCATGATTTTCATTGTGTTACTTGTGTATCTCTTTCTTTCACTTAAAAGGACATGAATCACAATAACAACTCATCACAATATGCATTTATGTCACTTTTAGAAGCAAATTGCTTAAACTAAATGATATATATTTCATCATATCCAACAAACTAATGCATACTGTGTAAATTAAAATAACTATGGGTTCGCTTTTTCTGCAGTTACTGCAGATAAGTTATCTGCAGTAAGCCCAATACGACGTCGTTTTGGGCGAAAATTATGGTGTTTTTGAAATTTTAATTTATTTCAGGGTTATAATAGTCTTTATATTTATAAGTTTTTAAGATTTCAATACCAAAACGACGTCATTTTGGAAACAAATGCAGATAACTTATCTGCATTAATTGCAGAAATATTTTTTCCAATAACTATATGAATCCAATAAACAAATCATGATGCTTGTAGTAGTCAAAAACTTCTCATCATCTTCTCTTCCCTGCAAATACAATTCCAAGGTTACATAAGTTGGTAAACAATTTGTAAAGGTAGGAAACAAAAACAAGATTAATGAATAAAAAAAAGATTAAGAAACAAAAAACCTTTTAATACAATCATATAGACAATCTTACATGCTGAGATGTTGGTCCCTCCTACATAAGAAATAATATCAAATTTCTATTAAAATTTAATAAAATATAATAAAATTATAAAATAATTTCAATTGATTAAATTTATGCCTTTTATTTTTTCTTCAAGCCATACTTATTACGTAGTCAATCTCCTCCACATATTAAAGTTTGGATGGTATCTTCAGCCACATTAGAATGATAAGTATCAATAACTCTTCCTCCAACACTAAATGTTGATTCTGATGTTATTGTAGAGATTGGTACAGATCTTATGCTCCTCTCAAAGGTGGTATTGGAGGGGATTAAACCTAGGTCCTTCCACCACCTACCCAGCTCACATGCACCAACTAAGCTATCATCATTTGGTGCTACTATGAATAATAATATTTTATGTTATTTAAAATAAATAATATAATATAGACTAGCCGTAAGCTTATAGGCCCGACATGTAAAAAAAAAGCCTATGACCTGCTTTCTAAATAGGCTTGTTTAAAAGTATGAGCATGTTCTATTTGACTGTATGTAATAGGCCGAGTCTGACCTGATATAGGCTAGGCCGTAGGCCCTGTAGCCCAACCTGACTCACTTTCACCCTTATATATATGGGATATGATCATTTGACACTAGTGTCAAATTTTGAAATTTGACATCAAATCTTTAACCTTTGATTTATGTTAATCAATGGTTATCATTTATTGGAATCAAACTTATTAATTAATATTATTTCTCAATAAATCATAATCATTAATTGACGAAAATCAACTGATAGGATTGGTGTGAAATTTCAAAATTTAACATTGGTGTCAAAGGATATTGTCCCTATATATATATATATATATAAATATTTGTCCATTCAAAATATAGTCATTTTAATTAAATTTTAATATTTAATTTAAAAAAAACTTTCACTTTCTCTCACCATGATTTTTGTTTTTAATTTTGAATAAAATAACACAATTTCGTATCGTTTAAAAGGATAAATACTAATGTCATATATAACAAAGTAAAACACCAATTAAGCATTTCCAAATTAGAAAAAAGCTCCAAAATCGGTTTGACTAGTTTTTCATTAGTTATAACAAATTTTACCAACTTTTGCAACTATTTTCACTTCCGGACCTATATCGTTACCAATGTGTGCAAGTGCAGGTACACAAAAAAAAAAAAAAAATCATTTGAAATAGTAAAGTTTGATATATGTGAATAGTTGGTGAACCATCTATACTACCGCAGGATTTGCTATGTGAATAGCTTGAAATAACATTTAGAGTAAATATCATTTTCGGTCCTAAAGAAATTTCACGATGTCCGCTTTAGTCCATAGCAAATAAAAAGGCTATTCGTGGTCCCTAATAAATTCGAAGTGAACTCATTTTAGTCCTTTTGAGGGACTAATGTTGGTCTTTTTTAAATTTGTGAGCGAACACAATTTTAACTAAATAGGTCCACTTTGAATTTCTTAAAGACCACGAATAGCCTTTTTATTTGCTAGGAAATAAAGCGGGCATCGTGAAATTTGTTGAGGACCAAAAATGATATTTACTCTAACATTTAAAATTTTTGTAATAACTTGAAGAGAAAAGTACCTTTTGGATACTCAACAAAAATCACAAGACCCATTTTAGTCCCTTATAAAAAAAATCGAGTTGTGGTCCCTCTGAAATTCAAAATAGATACAGTTAGTCGAAATCATGGTCCCTCTGAAATTCAAAGAAGAGTCACGTTAGTCCTTCAAAAGGACTTATGTTAGTTTAAATTGGGATTAAATTGAGCCCTATAATATTTATTTATGACCCAAAATGTATTTTACTCTCGCTTGA